TGGAGGGCTGGTCTCTCCTGATCCGCTGGACCACTGTAAACACATGAAGCTTCTGGTTTCTCGCAGGCTTTTGAAACCAGTGCCTTTCATTTTAGGCCCTTTTAAGCAGCCTGGTCCGAAGAACTATAACTCGGTCAAGTTGGCCATGATATTCTCATTACCAAACCCCACAGTGGCACACCTCTCCATATAGCCCAGAATCAAATGATTTAGGACCCTGGAATACTCACAAATACAACGGTACCTAAAGGGTTGAAGAGGGGAAAATAAGGGAACATGTATTATTGATGTCAAACGGTGTGAAAACGAAGCACATCCCAATGCTTCAGACCGTCAACGTTAGAGAAAACACATTTACAAATAATGTCGCATAGGGTTGCAGGGGAAGGACTGCTTCCTAAAACCGATACTTTGAAAATGGATAAAGAGGGAAAAGAACTAAATGCCATAAAACGTCCTTTTACACAACCAACAAATGGTGTTCCCTGCAGCTGATAGTGGTATCATTGTGCAAGAGCTTTTTCCGATAAGTACTAACTTATCGGTTGCCTGAACTGAAACGATGCACTCATTTTGGAACTCATCTGCAGAACTGTGGGGTGACTGAAATGACCGTCGTATTCCCTCGTCTTAGCGCAACAACATCGCAGATAGGCGTCCCTCAGAAAAAAACCTAAACACCCATGCTTCCAGGCAAAAACTAAAGAAAAATCCAGCGCTCAAAATTGCCCAAAATTGACGTGTATGCGGACTTATTAATGAATATTGTAGACGATGTCCGCGGGGTTGTATAAAATATAAGAATCGAAAGCACAAGTCAATTGATCCTTCCTTTGAGGGTTTTAATAAATGCTGCACCACGACACGAATTCGCAAGGCATCCCCTCCATTACTCACAATTTAACTGATTCATAAGTAGCGCATGTCTATGCTTTTATAATTGGCGATCTGGTGAACAAATGATTTCAAAACAGCCCGTATTTGGCTTTAATATATCAGTTTTAAGCCCTTGCTTTTTGTCATGTCCGCATTAGGCAACACAATTTATAGCCAATCCTTTTAAACAATTTAGATGAAATGTAATCTTGTTCAAACCCATCAGCTTATTATCGAATAGCCTAGTCAGTGACCTTGGGAGCCTTTATGCTAGCGGTGTATTGTAACGGGCCAATCCGAACCACTGGGTCGATAGGTTGTTTGAACGTTT